ACCTCACGCTGGCTGCTCCCTCCAAGGGAGCAGGTGGTTCCTTAAAGCCAGGCACAGAGCCCAGGAATCCAGGCTGCTGGAACGTGAGGCTCAGGGATGAGCTCACGCTGCAGCCTTGCTCCTCTGTTCGGTTCTTATTTTGAAAAGGTGTAGGGCTGGAGAAAAGGGGAACATCTGGTGACTGCACAAAGAGCGGGAGAGAGAGGAAACCTGGGAGAAGTCAGGGATGCCCCTGGATCCCTGGAAGTGTCCCAGGCCAGGTTGGATACTGGGGCTTGGGGCAGCCTGGGATAGTGGGAGGTGTCCCTGCCCATGGCAGGGGTGGAATGGGATGGGATTTAAGGTCTCTTCCCACCCAAACCATTCCATGATTCCATCACACAGCAGGGATGGAAAGGAATCGTGTTCCTGAGGGGGTCATTCCTTTATTAAGTGTCTCTATCAGGGCTAATAAGAGAAAAATGAAGACACTGGAGGGAGATTTCCCACTCCCAGCTGGCCGGGGTCCAGCAGGATCCCACAATAACCACAGCTGGATCCCAACACAGGGAAAACACACAAATTTGCTCCTCTGTTCAGTTCTTATTTTTAGATGAAAAGGTGTAGGGCTGGAGAAAAGGGGAACATCTGGTGACTGCACAAAGAGCGGGAGAGAGAGGAAACCTGGGAGAAGTCAGGGATGCCCCTGGATCCCTGGAAGTGTCCCAGGCCAGGTTGGATACTGGGGCTTGGGGCAGCCTGGGATAGTGGGAGGTGTCCCTGCCCATGGCAGGGGTGGAATGGGATGGGATTTAAGGTCTCTTCCCACCCAAACCATTCCATGATTCCATCACACAGCAGGGATGGAAAGGAATCGTGTTCCTGAGGGGGTCATTCCTTTATTAAGTGTCTCTATCAGGGCTAATAAGAGAAAAATGAAGACACTGGAGGGAGATTTCCCACTCCCAGCTGGCCGGGGTCCAGCAGGATCCCACAATAACCACAGCTGGATCCCAACACAGGGAAAACACACAAACAAGGCACTTCCCATGGGACAAGTAGTAGCAGAGTCATGGAATGGGTTGTGTTGGATGGGACCTTAAAATCCTCCCATTCCTTGGGAGGTTCCCACTCCCAGGTGAACCATGGAATGGTTTGGGTTGGATCATAAATCCCATCTCATTCCACCCCCATCCATGAGCACGGACACCTCCCACTATCCCAGGTGGATCCAAGCCCCAATGTCCAACCTGGCCTTGGGCACTGCCAGGGATCCAGGTGCAGCCACAGCTGCTCTGGGAATTCCAGCCCCTCGCCACTCTCCCAGCCAGGAATTCCTTGCCAAGATCCCACCTAAACCTGACCTTTCCTGCCTTAACCCCACTGCTGTGGCTCAAGGAGCCGATGCTGAAACTCAAACCCACCAAATTTGCACAAAGCAAAGCAGAACCATGCTGAGGGAGAAGAGTGGAACCTCCCTGTGCCCATCCCTTGGACATCCAGGGACATCCAGGCTCCCACCTGCCCTGGTCCAAACATCCCTCGGAGCTCAGGCTGGCGCTTGCAGAGGACACTCAGCACTCAGGATCTGTAACTCAGTGCACAGAAGGAGAGGCTGGGAGGAGGGAACTCTCATCACTGACACGTTCCCTCCCTGGAGCCCAGAGTGAAATTCCTCAAGTGCTGGAGACAGATTTTCCTTGGAAGGCGGCCACGAGTGCTGATCTGGCTTCTAGGAGAGGTCAGCGTGGCCAGGGACTGCAGGGACCTCAGAGAGCAGCACAAAACCCTCCTCTTGCACCAACGTCCTCACAACAAACCCAGGAAAACCAAAAATTAAAACATTTCCAGCTGTGGGGAAAACAGGGAATGACCTGAGAGCACCTGGAGATCTCCAGTGGTGTTTGGACGTTCAGGGGTGTTTGGTGAAGATCCAGAGGAGTTGATTATTTCAAATTTCAGCAAGGGACTAAATGGAGCTAAATTTATTTCAGATTTCTAAAATACAGCACTGAGTGTGCAAAAGTAAGGTTTAAACTGGAAGGGGGAAAAGCAAATATTCCTTGCTTGTAAAACCTTAAGTATTTGAGTCTCACTCCTGCAGAAGGACTTGAGGTGGGAGTTGCTTTCCTTTATGACTTCACTAAGGGTATTTATGGATTTAGAACTGTCCCAGAATAGGAAATAAAGCCCCATTTTACATTTCTGACTGTTCAAAATTTGATTTTCTGGCCTCAGCTCTTCCTCTTTTCCAGACAAGGATGGAATTACTCCTGATTCCCTTGGGCATGAGGGGAAAAGCAGGATTTTGATGTACTAAACTTGAGTCTGCTGCTCTGAACAAGGACAAACTCTGATGGCTTTAAACAGTGACATCTTTTTAGGGTTTATTTCCCACTACAAGGATTTGCACCAAGGCACGAACCAAGTCACCATATTTTCCTATCACTTCATATTTTATTAATTTTGGTCATTCCTTTAATCATCCCCCGTTCCAGTGAAAATTTTCTCAGATTTACAAATGTTCTGTAACAGCTCCTACTGAAATATGTTGGGAAGAGAAATCTCTTTAATTTCCTTACTTTGGTGAATTTTTGCCCAGTCATTTTTCCTCCCTCCTTCCCCCAGCCGGGTCATTCCATTTAAATCAACATTGTGGTGACATTTCACAGAATCATGGAATGGTTTGAGTTGGAAGGGACCTTAAATCCCATCCCACTCCATCCCCTGCCATGGACAGGGACACCTTTCACTATCCCAGCCTCAGTGTCCAACCTGGCCTTGGACACTTCCAAGGATCCAGCTGCTCTGGGAGGCCTTGGGCTCCATCCCAGTCCCTCCCCACCCTCGCAGAGAGCAATTCCTTCCCAATATCCCACTTAATCTACTCTGCTTCAGTTTAATTTCATGGCTTAAAAGAGAAAAAATGCCAAGTCCAACAAGAGAAATTTCAAGACAAATCGAAGAACAATCAAAGACCTTCCTCCATGACCTTCCCACCCCTCCCTGCTCCCAGCTGGAGCTGCAGTCCAACAGAAGTGCTTGGATGGCGTCTGGTGACACATTCCAGCATGCCACCAGACCAGATCACCGACAGGACCAGGCAGGGGGAACTGCCTCATCTTTCCATGCTGTTGGATAAGTCAGGGATGGGTCAGCTCTTCTCCATTATCTGCTCAACACCTTGATCTTCCCCTCATCAATCATCATCCATTACCCAGGAGATCCAGGATTTCCCATCCTCACCTGGCACCTCTATCTCCCCTTTCTCCTTGCACAGTCACAGAATCCTGGAATGGTTTGGGTGGGAAGGGATCTCAAACCCACCCAGTGCCACCCCACTCCCATTGTCCCGGGGTCCTTCACTCTGGTCCTTGTCCAACCTGGCCTGGAGATTCAGAGGTGCTGCTGCTTTTTAAATGCAAGAACAAAACTTGGGAGCACCTCCTGGAACAAAGACAAAACCTCCGTGTCCAAGGACACCACTGGACAGAGGAGGCAGGACTGAGGAGGCCCCTGCTCCTCCTCCTCACCCAAGCTGGGTCCCTTTGGCTGCATTTTGCACTCATGAACCACACAAACGTTTCACTGGCTCGACCTCACCGAGCCATTTCCAGGCATTTCACTCTTCCAAGAGCCCTAGGTTCCCTGTCCAAAATCCCCACATTCACGGGCTGGTGCTTGGAAAAGGCCCAGGGCCTCCACATTTCCTCACACCCAGGAGGCCGCGGGCGCGTCGAGCGCCGCAGTCAGTGAAGTGCCAAGGAGCTAATGAAGATAAAAGTGTCAACACAGCCTGGTGATAACGCACACCTCTCCCATGGAGCTGCTGGGACCGTTTTGCAAACAAATTTGGCAGTTCCTGGCGGGCCCGGGCCCGAAAAGCGGCGTCCTGATGTTATTAAAGTTAACAGAAGTGTCATGGGATGACAGATGGCTCCCCGCACATCAATTGGATTCTGAGGAGTTCTCAAACCCTGGCGGGTTGAAAGCAGCTCCAGCACGAATCAGAGGCAGGGGCAAGATCATCGATACAAGGGATTATGCAGATTTAAGAAATACCCTTGGCACCCGAAAGTTTTCAGAATGCAAACTACGTCAACCCCGCGAACAAGAGGCACTGCATCATGATGGCAGCAGGGACAAAGCCAGGGGGGTTTAACAGACAAAAAAAGATTGTTTTAATAGGAGAGAAGCATCAGTCATTGAGTCTTACTTCATTCAGACTTTCTCTCCAACCCATCCATCTTCAGTGCCAAGAGATGACAGGACCACCTCACTTTTCCCCCCGGCCTAGTGTATCAATAATGCCCATTTCTCCCCAAACAAATGACTCCCCAGAATGGCCCTTTTCCCAAAATTGGCTGCCAAGCCCCACAAAGGCCTCAGTACCTGCTATGGTCAACTTGGCTCCAACGGGGCCCCCTCCAGAGGTGGCCACCGATGGGTGGAGCCTTCCCCAACCATCTTCCCCAAGAGCCACTTTGTCATTCCTGGCCGGGGAGCATCTGCGGAAGAGGGGACCGGGGCGGGGGGGTGGCCGAGCCACAGAGGGACACAGAGAGGGACACAACGGGCACGGACACAGGGGAATGCAAATTCCTCCGCCCTCTCTAACGCCTCCGTGGGCATTCTCTGGGAACAAAGGTCCCCGAGGCGGGCGGGCTCTGCATCACTGCTCTCTCTGTTCCCAGCACCTGCTCGGCACTGGCCGCGGAGTTGCCGCGGTCCCTCCGCGCCGCGGCCGCAGACGCCAAGGGCAGCACAATGGCCCCGTTGGCCAGGGTCAGGCCTGGCTTTCTTCCTCGCCCCCTTCCACCAGCCCTTTTCACCTCCACCATCTCCAGGAGCGCTGGGCAAGGAGGTGGCTTCGAGCGACGAGAGGAGGAGGAGGGGGGAAATATAGGTCTCTGGCGTAAATCACTGACGCCGTTTCCCCTCCTCTCCCTTCCCTTAAGACCTGATGGTCTTCAGTCACACATCTTAAAAGCAAAACAAAAAACAAAAACACAAAGACTTACTTGTCTCAAGTCGATGAAGGCCAACTGCAGCGTGTCCCCTTGGAACCCAGGCACTGGGCCGGATCTGGCAAACTCTGTGGGAAAGAAAAGAGGATAAAAAGCGCCTTTAACTAACCATGGACAGGGAGATTGGCAGACGGATGACAGGGAAGACAAGAGAGGCTGGGGGAGAGGAGGACCGCGCTTCTAAGGAGTCATGTCTCCCTCCCTTCAGCGTCTTTGTTCGCCCTTCAAAATTCGTGTCATCAAAACACCATTAATTCCACCGTCCTGACAGCAAGGAAACTGTACTAATTCGACCTGAAATTTATTCCCATGAGCCGCACTGGGCTTCAGAGTATTTGTTTTGTGAACGGACAAACAACTCGCCCAGAAGAAAGGGGGGGATGGGGGTGGAAAAGTTTTTCCTCTCAACACAATAAAATCTTCAGCTGTGAAACTCTTTTCAGTTCCGAAAGCTATTTATATTTTAGGGCGCTGAAGGAATTTTCTAATTTCACGCCTGTCACCAGGCTCCATGAGCATTCATCAAAAAAATATGCCCGGCCGCGTCATTAATTATCAGGCAGCAGATTATTTGCATGATCTGGTGATGGCGCCTCTTGGTCAGCCCAAACGCGGAGAACCGCGGCCGTTGGGTGGCATTTTTATTTCTGGTGGATGAAGACATCTGACAACTGAATAACGTTGGCTTCTAAAGCGACGAGAATATTTCCAAGGCCACACTTATCTCCTTCCAGCCTAATCTGGCCAAAGTTTCATACTTTGGTTGTTCATTTTTCTCCTAATCCATTCTTTAAATCAAACCTAAAACCGCTGAAGGGGCTTGAATGGATCCATCTTAGAGGACCTTGGTTCTTCCATGGCATTTAGCAGCTTTTCCTTGGGAATGCTCACGAAGCCGACGCCTGCACGCATCCCAGGGTGTCTTTTGAGGTTGGTTCTGCCCAACTTCACTTCATTTTCACCCTCTGCAGTTACAGCTTCATCTCCGCTCTCCTCACAACCTCTCGGCACTGAGGGGACCTGGGCTGCGAGGCCACAACTCAACGTCACCAAAGGCTCGAGGGGCAGCACCTGCCCAGGGTTGAGTTGTGGCTCCTGCAGGCACTGGAGGTGCTGGAGGAATTAAATGTGTTCTTGGGATGAAGCCAGGTGTGACGGCAAAAATGGAGAAAGGAAGGAAAATTTACATCAAATACAGATTTTTCAGTTACATAGCCCATTATCACTCATCTATCCCGGTTTTCACCCTACAGGAACCCTCCAACAGCTCCTAATGCTCCACAAAGATGAGGATTAGGAATGGCTGGGCAATATGGAAGGAGGATTTTGCCTTTTGTGTCCATGACTAATCAGAAGCACCAACGGATAAAGTGATTTCATGTCAGGTGGTCTTTGCCTTGTACGCTTGTCCTCCCAAAAGTTTTCCTGTTTCCAAGCCAAGGCCACAAAATCAGGAACATAAATCATCACACTCCCATTTTCCAAAGCTTTCCTAGAGCAAGCAGCCCAATCACGGAGCAGCCCCTTGGCTCTAACAAGAAGAGATTAATGAGTGAAACACCAGGACTCAGTCCTGTCCCTCAACCGCCTCATTTCGGGGAAGCGAAGCAGGGTTATTAATCAGCTCCCTTGCTCCACCTTCCATTAAAACCTTGGGATGGAGAACATCCTTCAAGCCAGACACAGGCACCTCCAGGGGCACAGGGGACACTTCTCAGACTCTGCGTTTTAATAGTCTCAGATGCCAGAAGAGCTTTGAGATTGAAACCATCGCTCATCTTTGCAGTGATCACTCAAGTGACAACCGCTGCAGGACAAGCGCAAACACGGCTGGGAAATCATTGCTTTCGTCTGAAGTTATGAGTCAAAGGGAGTAATAAACAAATAAAACCGGAAATTATGGACGTGACTGTTCATATTTAAGTTTCGGGTAGAAAAAGCACAAACCAAAGCCAGTGGGAACCATCCATGGTCGTGCCTTTGGAGTTTTGCACAGGATGAGACTGGACTGGGATGAACACGAGGAAGTTCTTCCCCTTCCCTCTGAGGGTGGGGAGGCCCTGGCACAGGGTGCCCAGAGCAGCTGTGGCTGTTCCTGGATCCCTGGAAGAGTCCCAGGCCAGGCTGGAGCTTGGAGCACCCTGGGACAGTGGAAGGTGTCCCTGCCCATGGCAGAACATGTGACTGGATGATCTTGAAGGTCCCTCCATCCCAAACCGTTCCATGATTCCTTGAGATCAGAGCTGCTCAGCTCCAGGCAATTCCACTGACCACTCCCGCAATATTCCGGGTGCAAAGAGCCCAAAGTGACTTCACATGTGTCCCCCAAAAACTGTTTTAATTAATCCCAACTGCAAAGGCATTTTAATGTAGTTTGCCATAAAATTTGACTGCAGCTTGCCTGAGCCAGCAGGGAGGGAGGATCAACACAAACCCTCTGACTCTGATCTGCAAGTGTTCATATTTAAGTTTCAGATAGAAAAAGCACAAACCAAAGCCAGTGGGAACCATCCATGGTCGTGCCTTTGGAGTTTTGCACAGGATGAGACTGGACTGGGATGAACACGAGGAAGTTCTTCCCCTTCCCTCTGAGGGTGGGGAGGCCCTGGCACAGGGTGCCCAGAGCAGCTGTGGCTGGTCCTGGATCCCTGGAAGAGTCCCAGGCCAGGCTGGAGCTTGGAGCACCCTGGGACAGTGGAAGGTGTCCCTGCCCATGGCAGAACATGTGACTGGATGATCTTGAAGGTCCCTCCATCCCAAACCGTTCCATGATTCCTTGAGATCAGAGCTGCTCAGCTCCAGGCAATTCCACTGACCACTCCCGCAATATTCCGGGTGCAAAGAGCCCAAAGTGACTTCACATGTGTCCCCCAAAAACTGTTTTAATTAATCCCAACTGCAAAGGCATTTTAATGTAGTTTGCCATAAAATTTGACTGCAGCTTGCCTGAGCCAGCAGGGAGGGAGGATCAACACAAACCCTCTGACTCTGATCTGCAAGGGATAAATCATCTTTACACACTCCCTCTACACCCCACTGTCCCATCTGGAACAATTATCCCCAAAGCCACATCAATCCTAAAACACTTTGGAAAAGCACAATACCTGAGGAACTAAAAATGTTTAGAAGTGAGAAATGGTGCTTGAGCACCTTCTCAAGAGGTGAAACTCCTCTGGGTGGCTCAGGGTTGGAGATGTCCCTGGGTTGAGGAACCCAACCACAATGTCCTACCCCCCCCCATGAGGATGGAATCACCTCATGTTCCTGATTACATTTGGAGAAATCCTGGAAAAGAAACCCTGGAAGGACTGCGAGGAAAGCGAGTTTCTATTTTTTGGATCAAGGGCCTCACAGCTGTTCAGCATCTATTTAGGAGCACACACAGAGTTGGGAAATTTAAGATCTTCCCCAAAGCATGAACTTCAAATCCTCATGAGAAAATGCCTGTGATTGTGAATGTTCTCACAAGGCTGGTGAATTTATCACTGCTGTCGGCTGCTTGTGAGAAACCCAAGACAGATTCCATTCCAAGCCAGATTTCATCCCAAGGCAGATTTCATCCAAAAACAGATTTTATCCCAAGACAGACTTCATCCCAAAAGAGATCTCATCCCAGGACACAGCTGCTCCTTAGCAGCTCACCTTTAGCTGTCTCTGCCCATTGTCCCTTCCCACTGTTCCCTGCCCATGGACAGATTGGAACTGGATGTCTTTTAAGGTATTTTCCATCCTGAACTGGATGGCTCTTAAGGTCTTTTCCATCCCAAACCAATCAGTGATTCCTAAGGAACCTACTGGAGGAAGGCTGGGAGAGTTATGGAGTGACACTTCCCTTCAAAATTTAGGATGGTCACACACTGAGGCAACACTGATTTAAGCTGCAATTTTCATCAAACACTGAATTAACAATGCTCTGGAACCTTCTAGAGAAAGGTGACCCTGCCCATGGCTGGAACAAGATGGTCTTTAAGGTTCCTTCCATCCCAAGCCAATCTGTGATTCCTAAGGAAGCTTCTGGATGAAGCTGGGAGAGTTATGGAGTGACACTTGAAAACTTAGGATGGTGACGCACTGAGCCAACACTTAGCTGAACAGCAATTCTCATCAAAAGATTCATCAACACTGAATTAACAAAGCTCTGGAACCTTCTAGCACAAGGTGTCCCTGCCCATGACTGGAACAAGATGGTCTTTAAGATCCTTTCCAACCCAAATCCTACAATTCTGGGATTCTGTGATTGACATCCAAGAAGTGAAATGACATCCAAGCTGATATTTGTCTCCCAGAAGAAATTATGTAGGAGCTGATATTCTTTGTGTCACAGAAGACATAATGTAGGAGCTGATATACTTTGTGTCCAAGAAGGAATGATGTAGGAGCTGATATTTTTCATATCCCAGAAGAAACGAGAAGAGGAATTCGGCCCAGACACTCGGAAAAGCTGCAGAGGAATGAATGCAATGCTTCCCTTGGGCTGCTGGAGAAGGAGCTGCACCTCCTGTAATCGCAGGTCACACTTTACATACCAATGCCACCAACCCATTCTGAAGGAGGAATGAACAAAGTCTCGGAGCAAAAAAAGGAGAAACAAAGACCAGAGCGGAGCTTTAGAGGAGAGACACAGCCAGTTCTTCTTGGGTTTAATCTCTTCAAGCAGATTTCAGGATAATTTCCTCGGAACAACCGAGCGCAGTGTTGGCCTCAGTACTGTCGGATTCCTTTATTGTACTGTCTTCACGACCAAGGCAAGTGGCAAACATAGCAAGCAACCTACAGAGCAGCCCCTTGAGCAGAAAATCACCGGAGAATAGAGCAGATCAGTATGCGGCTGTTTGTACAAAGCATTTAGCCAGGCTAAAGGTTTGAGGGGTTTGTGTTCAGGCCAAAAAAGTAATGTCTTTGCAAGGTCTACAGGCCTGGGCCACCCAGGGCAGGTCACAGGGGGACTCCAACCTCCCTTCCAAAACATTTCACTGATGAAAGAATCAAGGAACAGGAACCGTTAAGCCCTTTACAATGGACAAAGAGTAAAGAGTTCAAAGGCACGGCAGAAAAGAGACATCCACTG